GGGGGGGGGTTGAGGCGGGGCTGGGGTGACGCGTGGCCGGGAGAACAGGTTCTTCCAGCCACCCCCGCCATGGTGCTCTCCGCTCTCTGCCCCCAGAGCACGTGCAGTGGCGGGAGCAGGACGCAGCTGTTGCCTGGCGTCCCGGTCGGCAGAGCCCCCCCCCACCCCGGTCCCGCAGAGGGGAAACTGAGGCCCAGAGCGTGGGACCGTGGAGCTGGGCTGGGGCCCGTCCCTGAGAAAAGGCTACAGCTGGCGTCACGCCCCTCCCCCTCCTCCTGCTGCCTTGGGCACTGTCTCCCCCTGTCCCTCCCGTGTCCGGCTGGACGCCGCGCACAGCGCGAGTGGGTGGGACCCCGTGGGGGTGTCTGGGGTCTGCACCGTCTCTCCCCGACCCACTGTCCCCCCCGCCCTGGGCCTGGGGCGGGGCCGGCGGGAGGGCTCCCCCCTTGCTGGTTCCTGGGCCGGAGCCCAAGCACCCCCTGGCTGCCTCTGCACCCACCGAGAAGGACGCCTGCTCCCCGCCAGCCGCGAGGCCTCTTGGCCGGGCCTGTCCCGCCTCCCTCCTCCCCGCGTCGTCCTGACCTGGCCTGGCTGTGGGGCGGCAGCGGTCCCTGGGCCAGAGCCGGCGAGAAGGGGGCAGTGGGGTCCCTGCGCTCAGCCCCTCCCCGCCGGGCCGCCCTGGTCCCGCTTGCGCCGGGGCCGTGGGGACGGACTGGGCCTGGTTTTGTTTTTTTGAGACAGAGTCTCACTCTGTCGCCCGGGCTAGAGTGCCGTGGCGTCAGCCTCGCTCACAGCAACCTCCAACTCCTGGGCTCGAGCGAGCCTCCTCCCTCAGCCTCCCGAGTAGCTGGGACTACAGGCATGCGCCACCGTGCCCGGCTAACTTCTCATTTTCTGTAGAAGTGGGGTCTTGCTATGTTGCCCAGGCTGGTCTTAAACTCCTAGCCTCCAGCGATCCTTCCATCCTGGCCTCCATTTTTTTTTTTTTTTTTGAGACAGAGTCTCGCTCTGTTGCCCGGGCTAGAGTGCCGTGGCGTCAGCCTCGCTCACAGCAACCTCCAACTCCTGGGCTCAAGCGATCCTCCTGCCTCAGCCTCCCCAGTAGCTGGGAGCACAGACATGCGCCACCATGCCCGGCTAATTTTTTTCTCTCTATATTTTTAGTTGTCCAAGTAATTTCTTTCTATTTTTGGTAGAGACGGGGTCTCGCTCTTGCTCAGGCTGGTCTCAAACTCCTGAGCTCAAACGATCCTCCCGCCTCGGCCTCCCATAGTGCCGGGATGACAGGCGCGAGCCGGCCCCTGCCCCTGGCTTTAAACAGCATCCGGGGAGCTCCAGGGACTTCGCTGGCTGCAGCCCAGGCCCGGCCACACGTGTCGCTGTGTAAATTGCAGCCGATTCATTTAAAAGCTGCCAAGTTCAGCTGCTCAGGCCTGGCCGGGGGTGCCCCTGCCTGCCCCGCTTCCCCAGAACCCTGCCGCCACCTGCCTCCCCGCCGGGTGCTTCCCCCAGCACGGCTCCCGGGCCACCCCCCTGGGGCCCGAGCTCTGTTCAAGACTCCCCTATGGGCTCTGGGGACCCCTGGTTGGGTCCTGTAGCATCGGCCCAGGTACCCCCAGGGGATGGGGGGCAACAGGCCGTGGACTCCCGCAGACGCCTCCCTGCAAAGCACAGGTGGGACAGTTCCTGCCCCGTGGGCCAGATCGGGGACCCCCCCCTCCCCGGGTCACTCTGCGCTGGTTTTGCCACTATCACGGTCCCCACAGGCCTGGCTCCACGTGGAGGACAGCCGGCCTCCGCCCTGGTGACCACGCCCGCCAGAAACCTAAGCCCGTCTGCCCAAGCCTCCTTTTTCCCAAGACAATCTGGAAGTCTGTGTTTTGCACGAGATCTCTCGACAGTCAAACGCTGGCAACTGTTAATAATTCGCGATGTTAGGACGCGTCAGGGGCCGTCTTAGGCATGCGCGTGGGCCGCCTGTCTGTGGTCAGAGACGAGGAAGAGACAGGCGGGCCGGCCGGGTGGGCTTCGAGGAGTAGCACCCACCGCGCCCGGCCACGTGTCTCCGTAGCGCTCAGGGGTATGAGGGGACGCAGGTCTCAGAGCTCAGGAGCCTTGTGGCCGAATTTGGACCCTCAAGACCGCCGGCCTATGGGCTGCCTGGGGACAGGGACAGGGACACCCCCGGCCCTCCAGAGGGGCTCGCGTCTCCGGAAGCTTCCAGGATATTTTCGATTCACTCTTGCGACTCCGCCTCCCGACCCCAGGCGGAATTGTGGAATTCGGCGGTTCTGAAAGTCGGGGGCATCCCGCGGACGGCAGCTGTGGGCAGGTGCCCGTCGCCAGGGTCCGGCGGCAGCTCGAGCCTGTTCTCAGTCCCCACCCGCCAGCCGCTCTGCCCCGGGGCTCTGCAGGGCCGGGTGGGAGTCTGCCCTGGGAGGGCTGCCACGGGCCGGGTGCACAGGTTGCTGACTGCAACAGTGCCGGCCCTGAGAGCGGTCAGGCCGCTCTACTCTGTCTTGTTGCGTCTTGTGCGCGTCGGAGGGTGCTGGGGGTTGATTTCGGCTACTCCGTGGGCGTTCTCCTCTCGAATCTCGACTGCCCCGGGCTGTCCCTGTTGCTGTTTGGGGACCCGCTGGGGGCCTGAGGCAGAGCCCAGAGTAGCGCCGGGTCGACGGGCAGGTAGTGGGTGCTCCGGGGCGGCCTCTGGGTCTGTCTGGGCCTCGTCCCGCTGGTGGTCATTGGTCGGGGTCGAGGGACCCGGCTGCCTGCTCTGTGTGTCATGGCTGTTTTTGGGGGGCCTGCGGTGGCCGCCTTGTGCTCCCTCCGGAGTGTTCCCAGCCTGGCAGGGCGGCCGCGTGTGTGTCCACAGGTGCCCGGGGCCCGTCCGTGGCGGGGGTCACGGTCATGGGTATGGAGGCCGGAACAGCCTGGGAGGTTCTGCGGGGAAGGGTGTTCTGGGGACAGGGAACAGCAAAGCTAAGGCTCAGAGGCACTCTTGTGCATGCTGGAAGCCGAGCAGTGCTCTTTAGGGGGCTCGGGGGCCTCCGGCACCACCTTGGGTGGTCCCGGATGGCAGGTCAGGTCACCAGGGCCCCTCCGCGGTCACCAGCCAGGTCCCAGGTTAGGACAGAGTCCCAGTGGGTGGCGTGTTGGCTGAGAACTGTGCAATCTGGGCCGTCCCGTGGCCCCGCGGCAGCAGGTCGAATACCCCCCAGGCAGTCGAGCGCCTCTGTCCCACGTCACGGGCTGTTCCCGGCAGACCTGCCGCCGCTGGAACCGTGAGCTCCCGAATTCTCACGGCCCCGGGAGGGCTGGCGGCAGACGAGGAGACCCCCGGGGCGGGGTCCGCCGGCTGCAGAGGGGTCACCGTGGGAGCCACGGGAGCTGGGGCAGCCCCGGCTCCCCCCGCCTGCCCGGACGTCCCTGCCGTCCCCCGGGTGGCGGGCGCGGGGATGGGCGAGGCGGGATTCCTGGGACCCCCTCCTGCAACAGGTGCCTGGCCCAGTTCCAGCCCCCGGGCCTCCCGCAAATCGAGCTTTAATGCCCGATTAGCGCCAGGGGGAAATCGCTAATTGCTTTTCCGCTATCAGATTCCTCCCGGCTTTGCCCAGAATGGTGGGGACCCAGGAAGGGGGCCTGGAAGCTGCCCCCAGCCCAAGGAGGGGGTTCCCGTGCAAGAGTGGGGGGGTGAGGAGCTGGTGAACCCCCACCCCCGCCCTGGCCGTGTGGGCCTGACCTGGAGGGAGGGGGACGGCAGGCTCATGTCCCCCTCCGCAGAAGGGCCTGGCTTTCGGGCTCTGGCCACCTTGCCGGCCACGGTCCCCGGTGTCCGGCCTGTCCCCTGTCCCCCGCGCTGGAGGTCAGGAATCGTCACCCGGGCAGCAAGGGCTGGGAGCGGCCCGGCGGCCAGGGGCGGGCGGAGCACGGAGCTCTCTCCTCGCCGGGTCGGGGCCAAGCCGGGCAGCCCCCTGCCTCCGGGCAGCTAGGGCGCGTGCCGGCCCTGGCACCCAGCCCGGGCGGCCCAGACGGCCTCCCCGGCGCCCCCGCCTGCCCTCAGCCTGGAGAATGGGCCTTTTGTTGGCTCCGGGCTGGACCGACAGCTGACCCGGCCCGGCCCTCGGCTGCCCACCCGCGGCAGTTGGCCGGGGCCGTGGCAGCCGGGCCAGCCGGGGCTCAGGCCTCGGGGCCGGGGGTTGGGGGGGTCCCCGGGGCGGAGGGAGCTCGGTGAGCAGGACTGAGGTTGCTGCCCCCGCCCCAGGTGGGTGGCCCAGAGTGGACGACAGCTGGGGCCAGCTGGGGCCGGGCACGTGTGACCCCAGCACCTCCCGCCTGCCGCCTGGTCCCGCGTTCCTGCCACCCCCCGCCGGGACGCCCTCCCGGCGGCTACAGCCTCGGGGCGGACCCCTCCCCCGTCCCCGGGTACAGCCTGAGGTCCCCCCGGGCCCTGGGTTTCTCTGGCAGGTGCTACGTGGGCCTCAGTTTACCTCTTGCTGCGTGGCACGGGGCCTCCAGCCAGAGCACTGGCCGGGGCCCTGGGGAGCGTGTGCTGGTGGGTGACCCCCTCCTGGTCGGAGTGTCCCCGTGAACACACGCGGGCACACGGGGCCCTGCTGGGCCCGGCCGGCGGCGACGCAGCCCGCCCGCCTTCCAGCCTGGGGACCTGCGCCGCGGCCTCTCCCTGGGGACAGCTGTGTGTGACGGAGTCGGGGTGGCCCAGCGCCTGCAGCCGGGTGGACAGATGGGTGCCTGGCGTTTGGACAGCCGGACACACATGTGCTCCCGGCGGCAGCTGCCGGCTGCCACCTGTCCCGGGCGGCGTACGGCCGGGTGGGGTGAGGGTGTCCCTGTGGGCAGCCTGTCCCCCCACACCCGACCAGCCTCAGGGCCCTGGGGCGGGGCCTGCCCCTGCGTGGGGACGTGGCCCCTCTGTGCCCACCGTGCCTCGGAGCTTGTCTGCTCCCTGGACCTGCCCTTCCGGAAACCAATTCCTCCAGGCCCTGCTGGGTGACGTTGGTGGCCCCAGCCCTGAGCTGCAAGAGGCTGGCAGGGCGGCAGAGGCTGCCACCTCTCTCTCCCCTTGTGTCCCTGTTCACACGCCTCTCGGGGGTCCCTGCGTGCCAGGGCCTGGCTGACAAGCCCCCGTGTGCCAGGGGGCGGGGGCAGAGGGGCTCTGGACCTGGCGCCGGGGGGGACGGGGTCCGGCCTGGGGTCCGCCCTGGGTTTTGGGGGCAGCCGCCTGAGAAATCCGGAGACCTGGGCTTGGAGAGAGGTCCGGAGTCCCGACGGGGGCTTCTCAGTTGGGGACGGTGGTTCCTGTGCCCGCCCCCCACCCAAGCTGTGTCCTGCCCCCTGTGTCTTGCTGACGTGGTCATTGTGTGACTCTCGGAACCGCTCTGTGGGGTGTCTGTCGTTCCCGATGCACGGTTTGGGAAACTGAGGCAGAGAGAGGTTCGTGCCGTGCTGCGTCCCACCCTCGTTGGGGCGTGAGTCCGGACGCCGGCACCTGGCTGGTGTCCGCCCGGCCGCCCACCAAGGCCAGGGCAGGGCGGCCTCAGTGTTGCCCGGGACTGCCTCGGCCAGGGTCACTGTGGGGGGGAGGACACCCCATTGGTGCCAGGCGGGCGTGGCCGGCGCAGGTTCTGGTCCAGCTCCAGGAGCCGCCCGCTGTCCCAGCCGGGCCCAGCTCTGCGCTCAGCTCTTCCGGGTCTGGTTCGACTTAATCCCGCAGGCCCGGAGCGGATGCAGGGGTGGCTGAGCTCTCAGGAATGCAGCCCGCCCCTCGCCCGCCCGCTCCCGCCGGAGGAGGGGGTGGCGGCCACGCAGGCCCAGGGGCGGGCCCGGCGCTCCCCGGGAGAGCCCGCCCCGGACACGCCCTGCGAATCCCAACCCTGGAAAGTCCCCCTGGGTCTGTCCGTTAATTAAATACGTTTGTTTGGTAAAAGCAGCTAAAAATACCCGCGGCAGGAGGAGAAGAGCCGGCTAATTAACGCCCGGTTTGTTTGGGATCTGAAATACATTTCCGTGCCCATGAGACGCCGCCCTCCTCCCCCATCCCTGCAGCCGCAGCCTTGTTGCCGGAGGCGTCCCCAACTCCAGAGCACCCCCCTCCTCGGGGGCCCCTCCAGCCTCCCCTGTGCCCGACCCCCCCGACAAACACCTTCCTCCTGCAAGACCCGGCCTGGTCCCTGGAAGGTTGGGTGGCGGTGGGGGGGGTCCCATAGGGTTCACCCTGTAGTGGGGGGCTGTGGTTATCTGCAGCTCCAAACCTGGGTCCTGGCCTCTGTTTTTTTTTTTTTTTGAGACAGAGTCTCACTGTGTCGCCCGGGCTAGAGTGCCGTGGCGTCAGCCTCGCTCACAGCAACCTCCAACTCCTGGGCTCAAGCGATCCTCCTGCCTCAGCCTCCCGAGTAGCTGGGACTACAGGCATGTGTCCACCATGCCCGGCTAATTTTTTCTATATGTTTTTAGTTGTCCAGATAATTTGTTTCTATTTTTAGTAGAGATGGGGTCTCGCTATGTTGCCAAGACTGGTCTTGAACTCCTGACCTTGAGCGATCCTCCTGCCTCAGCCTCCCGAGTAGCTGGGACTACAGTCATGCGCCACCGTGCCTGGCTAATTTTTTTATATATGTTTAGTTGTCCGATTAATTTCTTTCTAGTTTTAGTAGAGATGGGGTCTCGCTATGTTGTCCAGGCTGGTCTCGAACTCCTGAGCTCAAACAATCTGCCCGCCTTGGCCTCCCAGAGAGCTAGGATCACAGGCGTGAGCCACCGCGCCCGGCCTCTGTTGACCTATAAGGGGCCATGGGTCTCGGCCCGTCGGGGCTGCGGCGGGGCAGGGGGTGTCGGCATTACGTGTGGCCGACCGCGGCCCTCTCCGAGCCCGGCTTTGTTTTGCGAAAAAGCTGGGGGGCCCGGGGTGGGCGCCAGACCCCGACCTCGCGTTTCACCCCCACAGATCCTGGTGGACCTCGCGAGCCCCGGCGGCCGGCCGGCCCTGGTCTACGAGAGCGTCGTGGCCCAGGACGGCAGCCCCATCCTGCGGGACCTCGTCCTCAGCCCCGACCGGCGGTACCTGTACGCCATGACGGAGAAGCAGGTGGGTGCCACGGAAGGCGGGGGCCACGGCACAAGTCACGTGGCTGCTGCTTCTCCTCCCAAGGGGGTGCCCACGGCTGCCCGGCGACCGTGGTTTTGTGGTCGTCTCGGGGGGAGTCTGAGCGCCTTGTCCACACGCAGCCGCGCGCCTGTACTCAGGCCGGGCGCACCCCGTGGGCGCAGGCGGGCGTGGGACGGGCCTCGTGTGTCCGCTGCCGTCTGTGGATTCTCCCCCGGGCTGGGTCCGGCCTTCCCGCCCCCTTCCTGCGTGACTTCATGACCAAAGTCACGACCACAGAAGCGGGTGTTTGGACGAGAGCGTTTCAGACTCTGGGTGTCATCGGGGGACTTGGGGGCGTCCATCTGGGGCCTGGGCCCGGCCTGGTGACCCCGGAGTCCGGGCGTGGGGCAGGCGGGGCCCGGCGAGGACACAGGTCCGGCCGGGTGAGGACGGGTTCCCCCTTCCCTCCCGGCTGCCCCTGCTGCCCGCACCCCACTGCCATTGCGGTTGGGTGCTTTTCCCCCCGGGACCTGGGGAGCTCAGAGCAGGGACAGCAGGAAGAGAGGCGGGTGCCCCGGCCAGAGCTGCGGGGGGTCTGCGTGTACCGGCTCTTTGGCTGCCCGGCTGGGTCACCAGAACCGGCCTCGGAGTCGGCTGGGAACAAGCCAGAGCCTCCCGGAGTCCAGGGGACCAGGACGGGGCGGTGGGGACCCCGGGGAAGGGCCTGACGCCGCCCCCCCGCCCCAGGTGACGCGGGTGCCCGTGGAGAGCTGCGTGCAGTACCCGTCCTGCGAGCTGTGCCTGGGGTCGCGGGACCCCCACTGCGGCTGGTGTGTTCTCCACAGCACGTGAGTCTGCGTGGGCAGGGAGGGCCCTAGACACCCTGGCCTGGCGCCCCCCGACCTGTCGCCGCGCACCCCGGGCGGCCGCAGGTCCCCTCCGGGCGGGGGCGGGAGCGTCGCGGGGCTGGGATCGGGGACCCTCCCCCTCCTGCGGGGTCTTGCTCACCTGCCCCGCCGCGGCGCCCTCTGCCCACAGCTGCTCCCGGCGGGACGTCTGCGAACGCGCCGACGAGCCCCAGCGCTTCGCGTCGGAGCTGCCGCAGTGCGTGCGGCTGACCGTGCGGCCGCGCAACGTGTCGGTCACCACTTCCCGGGTCCCGGTGAGCGGGGCGGCCCGGCGGTGGGGGAGGGGTGGGGCGTGGCCACGGCAGTGGGGGAGGGGTGGGCGTGGTCTCAGCAGTGGGGACGTGGCCACGGCGGTGGGGGAGGAGTGGGGGCGTGGTCGCGGCGGCGGGGGAGGGGGGACCGGCTCACCCGCGCCTCCCCCCGGCGGGGCCCAGCTCGTGCTGCAGGCCTGGAACGTGCCGGACCTGTCGGCCGGCGTCAACTGCTCGTTCGAGGACTTCACGGAGTCGGAGGGCGTCCTGGAGGGCGGCCGCGTCCACTGCCGCTCGCCCTCGGCCCGCGAGGTGGCGCCCATCACGCGGGGCCAGGGTGAGTCCCCACTCGGCCGGACGGGCCCGGGGTGGGGGTCGGGCAGCCCCACATGGGACCCCTGACATCGCCGTCTGGGAGGTGACAGCGGCTTCTGGGCGCAGGGCCGGAGCGAGTGGGGGTTCCCGGTGACCCCGGAGGGCGGAAAGGGGGTCCCCGTGACCCCAAAGGGCGGAAGGGGGTCCCCAGGGACCCCGGAGGGCGGAAGGTGACCCCGGAGGGCAAAGGGGGTCCTTGGGGACCTTGGAAGGTGGAAGGGGCCTCAGGGCCCAGACGCGACTCAAGCCCAGGAATCAGCGGGGCTAGAGGAGCAGGGCTGGGCGTGTGAGGTCAGAGGTCGGCGGGGAGACATCTGCCCTGGGTGCAACAGGGGCCTGTTGCGGTTTGGGGGTACAGGACCCCTCTAGTTGCTGCAGTCGTATAGCTGCTCTACAGCCACTCCCCCGACTGCCCTGGGAGCAGCCGCGCAGGCCGGGGGCAGCGGGGAGGAGGGGGCGGCTCCCGGCTGCTTTTGTCACCGAGCAGGTGGCAGGTTGGGGACAGAGGTCCGAGCAGGGCTGAGGTTCCTGCCACCAGGGGCCGAGGAGGGACCCAGCTGAGCTCTCCGGCGTCTCGGAGGGTCTGCGGGCGAGTTCCCCCCAGTCCGGGCTCCGCGGCGCCTGGTGGCCCTGGTGTTGGCCGCGGCGACTCAGCCCGCGCCACCCGCCGATCCTGCAGGGGACCAGCGCGTGGTGAAGCTCTACCTGAAGTCCAAGGAGACCGGGAAGAAGTTCGCCTCGGTGGACTTTGTTTTCTATAACTGCAGTGTGCACCAGTCGTGAGTGTCTCGGGGCTCCTCTGCGCCACCCCCCCAGGTGTGGGCCGGGCCGGGCTTTCCTTTTCCGGACACTGGGCAGAGCGGGGGGCATCTGTGGGGCGAGGGGCGGTGGGCGGGACCAGGCCCGGAGAGGAGGCAGCGGGAGCAGCACGTGCAAAGGCCCTGGGGCAGCCAGATGAGGCCCCATTGGGGGGCTCAGGCCTAGTCCCCAGGCCTCAGCGCCCCGCGCTCTGTCCCCACAGCTGCCTGTCGTGCGTCAACGGCTCCTTCCCCTGCCACTGGTGCAAATACCGGCACGTGTGCACGCATAACGCCGCCGACTGTGCCTTTCTGGAGGGCCGCGTCAACGTGTCTCAGGTGAGGCTGGGCGTTGGCGGTGCTCCCTGGCCGTGAGTGTGGCACCGAGATTGAAACCGGGGCCTGTCCTTTGCTGAGGACACCCGACCGTCGGTGGCTCTTGGGGACACCAGCCGGCCTGGATTCAAGGACATGCGAGTCCTCCGGGTCCCGTCCGCACAGAGGCCCCCAACCACCCTCTGTCACCCCCCGGACCTGGCCTTTCTGCTCCGCGCTGTGACGTCGGACCTCAGGGGACGGGACGGCGGCAGAGGGTGGGCCGAGGGCAGGCAGGGACCGTGGATGTCGGGGGTGACGGTGCCTGGCAGTTGGTGTGTGAGCACCGGGGACACGCGTGGTTTGCCCTGGGAGCACGGCCTAGCCCTGGGCCAGCGTGTCGTGGGGCGGCCAGGCGGGGGCTGCTGCGTCCACCTTGTCGTCCGCCACGCCCACCGCCCACAATGCCGCGGGAGCCGTGCCGGGCCCTGGCTGGGACCTCGTGCTGCTGAGTCGCTCCTGGTCCCCTCCCACCGGCCGAGAGGTTTCCTGGACTCACGGGCACCGTCGGCGAAGGTCACTGTCCTGCAGCCTAGGCAGCCTGGGCCACCCTAGGGTCAGGGTCAGGGTTAGGGTTAGGGTTAGGGTTAGACTCAGGCTCAGGGTTACGGTCAGGCTCAGGGTCAGGGTTAGGGTTAGGCTCAGGCTCAGGGTTAGGGTCAGGCTCAGGGTCAGGGTTAGGGTTAGACTCAGGTTCAGGGTCAGGGTTAGGGTCAGGCTCAGGGTCAGGGTTAGGGTTAGACTAGGCTCAGGGTCAGGGTTAGGGTTAGACTCAGGGTCAGGGTTAGGGTTAGGATTAGACTCAGGGTCAGGATTAGGGTTAGGGTTAGGCCCAGGGTCAGGATCAGGGTTAGGCACAGGGTCAGGGTTAGGCTCAGGCTCAGGGTCAGGGTTAGGGTTAGACTCAGGGTCAGGGTTAGGGTTAGGATTAGACTCAGGGTCAGGATTAGGGTTAGGGTTAGGCTCAGGGTCAGGATCAGGGTTAGGCACAGGGTCAGGGTTAGGCTCAGGCTCAGGGTTAGGGTTAGGGTTAGGCTCAGGCTCAGGGTTAGGGTTAGGTGGGGGAGGGCAGCAGAGAGCAGCTCGGCCTGGACTTGGACCCGAAAGGGACTTTAGAGCCCCGTTTGCAAGGCCCAGGGTGGCCCCAGTCACGGGGAGGCTCCGGCCTGAGTCTCAGCAAGGGGTCACCGGGCGCCTCTCCGATGGCCGGGGCAGTGCTGGTGTAGGCGTGGCCACCGTGCCCGCTAATCCCTCCCTCTGGGGCTGGGGAGGTGGCCCTGGTGGCTATCTGCCACCACCTGCGTCTCCGCTGTGCCGTGTGAGCTCTGCCCCCCTAGACCCCTTGGGGGCCAGGCCAGGACCCCAGGTCCTCTCCTGGGGCCCCCAAAATCTCCGCAGAGCTGCTCACGGGTCGCGCCCGCCTTGGGAGCTGCTGCGGGGCTCGGGGATCCCAGCCTGTTTTGGGCGTCCCTATTTACAGCCCGGCTATACAGCGGGGTTCCCGAGGGGCCATCTCCCGCGGGCGCTGGGAGCGCCGTGCTGCAAGGAAACTGGGCCGTTGCATCAGTTATTGTCGCCAAAACGACGCCGGGGGCCCTGCGGGGTCCGGGGTGTTTTTCTGCAGCGCTCTGGCTATTTTTACACACTCCCTGGGCCCCCAGCGGAGAGCGTGCGGCCCTCTGGCGACTGCTCCTCCTCCAGGGCCCGTGGCCTGGATAGGCTCGTGGGGTCCCTGGGAGGACGAGATCGTGGAACACGGGCCACGGGTCGGGGGGTGCCGGGACCAGAGGGGGGAGGCTTGCCCTGAGCGTGTTGTGCAGCTCTTGGCCCAGCCGGCCGTCCTTGCGGTCCTCAGTTTGCCAGTCTGTAAAATGGGCGCGTGGGGCTCGGCCGGGAGGAGTCCGGGCTCCGTGCACAGACCGGAGTCCGGGGCGCGGCGGGGCACAGACCACCCGGAAGCCCCCACCGCCGGCTCAGCCGC